AATCAGGCAGTCTTCTTGATTAAGATATATTTTGCAGAAAGTGATCAGCTTATGATGAACACAAAAGATCAGCAAAATATATAAAAAGTGAAAGCAGTTTGTAGGATGCTACTTATACTACTTGATACTTCTAGTTCACCACAGATCAGAGAGATATTGTAATGTTGACTCAACTACATTTGTTTGACAGATGAGTTAACAGATCAAGATCTTACATAGATAATCTGAAACATAATTCCTTTATTTGTCCGCAACAGGACAATGTACATTATTACAACAGCAGATAGTGCAGATAAAGTGAGGAGAACAGACTTACACATTTAAAAATAACTTAGTATGTACATCTTATTAATAATAAAGGAACACAATAAGTAAAAAAACAAATAGCACCATGGTAAAACAGTAGCAGTATATCTGCTTTAAAGAAAATGACTGTATAAAACTAAAGAGCTGGTTCTGTAGCTGCTTTACAGCAACAGAACAGTAAAAAGCTACAACAATGCAAACCTTATAACAACATTTATGTTTAATATATAGTAGTTATTTTTCCACATTATGAGGAACATTTAAACTCTAAGTATATTAAGCTAATCATACTTAGGTTATTTTCATTATAGGACTTTAGAAAGGGAGTTCTTATATTGAAGGAATCCTTCCTGCACTGCTTGATAACTCAAAGCAACCGGCACACAAACACATGCTCTCCATGTGGTGTTATCATAGCACTTAAACATCAGATGAGTAGATTAGTTTAATCTCACTCTGGATCTGAGGCATTTTGCGCGCCAGTCCCACACTCAGCCAGCTGTGAAATATTCCATCCACTCCACTGTAAATAAGTGCTAACAAGATTATCAGATTACCCTTCATCCAGGGCATACTGCGACGGCTGGATACAGTCACTGCAAAGATGTAAAAGTTCCCTGTAAGATAATTGCGTTAGGAAGTACAATTTTAATGCACATTTTTCTCAAGCCTCACAAGGCTGAAGGCAGCTTAAAACATTTTTCCTATGTGCAGTATGAAATACTTTTTTTTTTGTTGCCACTAAAAAGCTACACTGAATGTTAAGAGACAGAACGGATTTATAGTAAAAAAGACTCTCCCAGTGTTTGTCTTTTAAATATTCTATCTAGAAACTGGGCCAAGTTTAATTGAATTGACAGAAAAAAATGAATCCCAGAAATTAGAGATTTCTTTCCAACGCAGGACATTTGTAATGGTGTGCTGATGTAGAGTAGATATAACAGTATACTATCAATTCATTAGGCTCTTCTATAATGCTGCATTCATTTATACTATAGCAGTGGAACTGTGAATTTATTATAGGAATAAATTCCAAAGTCATCCTGTGGACTAGGTTTTGTTTTACGATAGAGGTTTAAACTGGATTTAATGTCCTTCACTAGGTACAGGCACTGTGTACGGCTGAACCAAAAGAGGAAACAAAAGGGACAAACTCTTCCTCTCTTCTTTGCCTGTCTCTATAACAAATATATGTATATGCAAATTAGCCTGTGAAATAAAATGAACCAAATAGCTTGATAGGAAAATGTTATATCTAATCCGCGGGTTTTGAGTCATTGAGGGAAAGCGATTGCCGGAGATTCATGGGGATGCGGGTGGAAGGTGAAGTGCAATCTAAAAACTGTCTTGTCCTCAGCTGTGTTACAGTACCCTGGTGAATTGCATGTAGCAGTCAGATTTAACTCATGGATTTTTTATGTAAGATAGATTTTGTCAATACAAACGGCAAAGTACAGACAAAGAACTATCAGGCTGAAAAGCAAGCGATGCAAATCAGTTAAATAATGCATGAAAGGGCAAAACTTAATTTTGTTTTGGGTGTTTTTACTCTCTGCTAACAAAATATCAGATGCTTTTGAAGAAAGAAAAAAAACATCCTAAAGCTTGTCAATTGAAAGTGAGAAATGCTTTGGAAAATAAGATGCAGCCCTTTTCAAAGCAAGCACTATGATTGGCATGAAGTTGGTCCGTTTCTCTGTCCAAATGTGGCGGTAACACCTGCCTGTTCCCTCAGTGTGTATGCTAGTGACTTGTCCGGTTTCGTCTCCGTCTGTTTCATCTGTATCCGTCTCTGTTTTCCATGGTGTTTATTTCTCCGCGTCCTTGGCAGCGTCTTTGGCTCTCTAAACAGCCGGTTCTGTCTCTGTTGGCTTTTCTCTTTCCTTCTTCTTTGTTGTACTCCCTCTAGCACTGCCTGTGAATAAGAACATGTAGACATTTAAATCAAGTTATAGCTGGAATGCAGGACTTTTACATATGAAGGAACGTCCGTTACATTCAACCCCTCTGCCAAACGAGTTCACACAGCGGAAAGCAGTCTGTATTTCGCGGTTTAGAGTATAGTGTCTGGTGTCTGTGGCAACTGTCCTGCGTTGGCACACTCAGGCCTGTAAGTGAGCTCGCTTCCTCTCCCCGTTTTTCTCAAGTCTTCCCATGCAAATAGTTTGTCTTAAATCTTCCTCTGAACACAAAGTTTCTTATTTATTCAGAAGCATCCACTCCAGAAACTTAGCTTCAGCCACACTCCTAGCTGCTGCTCCGTCACTGTGCTCTCTCCCATCTGGTAATTATTCTCACCGCTAGCAAGGAAGACAGAGGTTCCGCACTCCAGCTTTCCTATTATGCATACAATCAAATGACTGTGAATGCAGCCATGCGGCCTGAAAGCAGACACTTACAGAACTTTCAAAAATATATTAATTATTGATAAATATATGGAGACACTAAACGTGAGGTACCACTATTCAACCATTGTAAACATTACTTTAACGTTTAATAAACAGTTTATAGCACACTATGAAGTAGTCGAGGCACATAAGTGCTGTGATCTGTTTAGAAGTGAAGGCTGAGGGTTGAACAAATAATAAATATGTTTATATATTGAGAAAAACGTTTTCACAGTTGTGATCATATAAAATATGTCTTAAATACTGTACCTTCATCAACACATGTCCTTGCTCTTAATGCTTAATACACAGACTTAAAGTAGCGGGACATTTTCTCACTGTCTGGTTTAGGTTTGTTGGGGCCATTTGTTACAGAAATACTGTTCGAACACACACACACACACACACTCACACACACACACACACACACACACACACACACACACACACACACACACACACACAC